CCTGACCGCCCGCCCGCCAGGCGGCGCCCACCCGCTGGCCTTCACCCTATACCCCTAACTGGGGGGGTGGGGGGAATGGGACGCGCCGCGTCGCAGCTCTGCTGCCGCCGCCGCCTCCACCGCCACCGCCACCACCACCACGACTGTGGCTGTCGCTGTTGGCCAAACCCTAGGCGGTTTCGGCCAGGGGAGTAGGGGGACTGGGGTGAAAAGGGGACTGACATACTAAGCACAGGAGCAGGCCTGAGCTGTTTTCCAGTGACCCCAAAGAGAGGATGTGGGGGGAGGGGCCTGCGCAGCACGGCACAGCCCTCTGCAGAGAAGGGACACCGAGTCACAGCCACCCCCTCCCATGCGGGCCTCAGTCAGACTGCGACCCAAACCCAGACAGGTCCTCCCGCCATCCGACTGGGTTGTCTCCTACCGCAGAGCCCGGGCCGCAGAGGTAGGCTAGGAAGAGGAGCGGTAGTGCGGAGGTAACCCTTAACTGCAGAGGGGGCTGCTGGGGGTGAGGACGGGGCGCCGGCGGCAGCAGTGGCGCGGAGCAGCAGACACCTAGCCCGTCCCTCCCCTCTCCCTCCCCTCGCTCCCGCCGCTCCCCCTCCCCGCGCACGGCAGCGGCTCTGGCCTCAGATGATCCCGCTCCCCCCTCCCCCTAACCGCAGCCCCGCACAGTCGGGCGGGCGGGCGCACTCACAGGCGGGGGGAGCCGAGCCGAGGACAGTAGCCGCACCGAGGCCAGGGTGCCCGCAGTGCCTATTCCCGTTGGCTCTGCCCTTCTCCCCCAAACAACAATCAAAAAGAAACCCCACACTCACCCAAAAACCCGCAACCAGCGCCTCTTGGGACCACGACTGCCTTGCCGGCCTCCCCCTCATCCCAAGATTTGGGGAAGGGGGAACCCTACTCACGGCTGAGCCCAGACTGGGTTGCTGGCCAGCTCTGCGGAAGAACCAGGCCCTGCTGAACATTCAGACCCCAGCCCACTCCTCTTCTCTGGAAGGACCCAGAATGGAGGAGAAAACCAAGCAGGCTTTCGGAAATTCATGAGCTAAAAATGTCAGGAATTTCCTGGGAAACGCAGTTCCCCGGGATTCATTAAAGCAGGTTCGCTCGCCCCCTTTGCGTTTCCTCCCAGAAACTTGTGTGTGGCAGGAAAGGTCCTCACCCCCCAAAATGTAAAACATTAAATGATTCCTGGTTCTTATGCAGACAGATTAACGACCATTAATTAATGAATGAATTTTTAGACATGACAGCTAAAGGAGATCGTCTTTGGTCTCCGAAACGGGCTCAGGAGTAGAGGGGGCTCAGAAATAAGCGATTTCTCTCTTCCTAGATCTGATGAATAATCTAGGGCCTATTTTCCTACTCCCAGATAGGTAGTGAAGCTTACAGCCCCCTTACTGTAGTCTGCAGCCCTGGTGGTTATGAGAGCATCAAGGCCTATCTCCAGGGGACCCCTGCCAATGCCCCCACACTCTCCCCATCACCTCCTGCAGGGAGCAGACAGGAAACGGCCATGCAATCTTAGCCTTGGCTTCTCAAGCATGGATCGCTGCCTCCCACTCTGAGAAGACTGTACCCATTCCATCTGAGGGTTCTATTCCCACAGAACAACTCCTCTACCCTCTGAGTCAGGAGGCTTGGTTCCCTGACTTAGCCCAAGAGACAGCTGAGTACATGGTTGTCCAGTCAAGGGAAGGCTAACCATCAAGAAACCAATAGCAATCTAGGGCATAAACCTTGTCAGTGGCTGCACCCTCAAAGACCCTTGATCTATTCCTTCACTTCCCCACACAAACATTCCTGCCAGGTACTCATGGCTTCCTTTCCTCTTAGTAAAAGCTCCCATTCTATAAAGCATTAGCTACTTCAGCTTTGGGCTGAAGTTTACTACTTCCTACTGAAGAGGAAAAAACAGGGCAAAGTACCCTGGTCACCAAAGAGCAGCCTGGGGTGGTCCTGTGAACCAGCCTTAGAATCAAGCATCTCTGTTCAGGGATCTCTGAAATGGCTCCCTGAAGGGCAGGCCCGTTCTGAGATGGAATTGGGCCCCACAAATAACTTCCCCGAAATTTGAGGGAAATCTTCAGTGTCGGGCGGGGCCCCTTGTACTGATTCTTCTGTATTACCTCCCCTGTCCCCGAGCCTGCTGGAAAGGGGAAATGAGATTCGGGAGCACTTCCCACCACGCAAATGCGCATATGAAGTGGTGACTCCTTCAGGCTCACAGAGTAGCAATCAGGACCCTGGATAGACCCCAGCCCACCCAGGGAGGCAAAGGCTAAGTGGCAGGGTCTTTGCACAGACTGGGGCAGGGGTGTTATACTCCGGCTTGCAAACCAAGGCTAACACCTGGTGAAATCCAATCCAAAAGAGCTACTGCTCTTCCTCAGAGGTCTCTCTTGCGCTGAGCCAAGTCTTTGCCCCCTAATGAGAACTCGAGGCAGCCAGGTCAATGAAATTGCAACCAACAAGGGAGCTCGCCTGCTTGCCGATCCCTACTATTCTCCCGTGCTGATGGCTCCTTCCCACAGAAAAGAAGACCAGAGCTCAAGACTGCCCGTGTTCCTGGACTAATTTTGTAGTTTCAATGTCCTCCCCTCTCTCCCATTTATGTCCAGAGAATCTGAAACAGATTGGGTTTGGAAGTCATGATTTTCTGAGAAAAGCAACTGTCATTAGGAACTGACTTCTCAGTTCCCCAGTTCAGAGGCAACTCATGAAGTTTCTAGACAGAACACAAGTTAAATATCATTTGCACGATTAACATGGGGATTTTACGTGAAAACCAGCAAATGATGGAGGCCCAGATTTCTCCACATAAATCTGTACTTATTTTATGCTATTCATTATATATGTATAAAATCTCTGCTCTTCCCTTATATGTCAGCTTGTCTGTTACTTAAAAATATATCTAAAAAGCAAAGAAGACTAATAATAAAGCCTTCTCCAAAATAATTCAATACGTTGGATGGTTAGCATATTTTCACTATTGAAACAGTGAGTTACTTTCAGGACAAGACTGTAAGTGTGGCTATTTCGCAGAGTAGGAGTTGAAGGGTAGCTTTCCTTTAGAAGTCTTAAAGGCAGCCCGGGAGAAAGGAGTATTAACTTGTAGAAGTCTTAAAACAAAAAATTTTAGAACTTGAAATGGAATTACAAATTTATCTTCACATCGTAACATTGAAAATACATTAGAAAACTTGTGGACTTAAAAAGACTTCTAGTCATTTGTTAATTACCTAAAGAATATACTAACTTGGTGAAAGAAAAAGCTTGTTCTAGTATCCAGCTATTTGAATTTATTACTTGAAAACAAACATTTATAAAACTAAATTTACAAATTCATTACAATGTAGGAAGGACAAAGGAAAAATGAAATGTAATATGCAGCAAAATATCCATGTTAAGGAAAAAAGAAATATTCATCAAAAAGAGATATTCCCTTTCTCTTTAAAATTTGCTAATATTCACAAAACCTAGCTTTCCTGAGCCCTTTTATGGGCAATACACAAACATGTTGATAGAATAGAGACTGCTTTATTTTTAATCTCACTAATAACACTCTCACCAACAAAAAATTGTGCACAAGGAAACAGACATAAGAGAACTGGAAGAATCAGCCTCAGTTTTCCTCAGCCTTCACTGCATGTGATTCTGAAATAATCTACTTCAGCTTTGGTTTTTTAAAGTAAAAATCAACACCCATTAATAAAATCAACGTGGAGAGAAGGTATCTACCTCTGAGTAGTAAGCCGTTTTGATTATAGAGCTCCCAGCAGAAACCATATGCTGATTAATATTTCACAAAAGCACAAATTTTCAAAATAAAAGAGAACATTAGAACTTGTGTTTTCAAGTGCTAGTGGTTAGATGCTAGTCTTAAAACACACAATTAGCTTAAAGACCCAAGCCATTAGAACTAACTAGTTTGTTGTACCGCAAATGTTTAAAGTGTAGGAATCATCCATCTCTTCTCTCAGCTGTCTTCCAAGAAAATGAAGGGAAACTCTCAAGTAAATCTTAGCGTCTAATAACAACACGATCTAATAATACCAGCATTTCACTTATCATTCTAAAACCATGTCCCCTTCTTATTGTTCACTAGTCTTGAAAATTATGTTTCTTCAATGGTATTCCACTGTTTAGCATTTCTGAGAAGAATTAATCATTTAAAATTTGAAGGTAACCTTCGCATTTCCCGAATGTTTTCATTTTAAGCATTTGCAGAATTAAATAAATGTAGTACACACTCTAAATTCGATAAAAGATTCACAGAACCCGACATCTTATGAACTCAAAAGATGCAAACAGCATCGATGCAAATGTCAACAGTACTCTCTCTTCTGGCTGACACTTATATGGTTTTACTAGTACGGTACTCAAAGAATGAGATCAGCAACTTCGTCCATACTCTAGTCAACACTTCAATTTCCAAAGCCGCAATCCGAAAAACGTCAGTTGGGTGGGGGCCGCTGGGGGCGGGTGTCTTGAAGTAACCCAAAAATTTCCTTTCTCTTCTGACAGTCTACCAAAGATATCAAACCGAATCCAACCAAATCCAGCCGACTGCAAAGCACTGGCGCTTCCCTTCGAAGACACGGTTTCGAAAAGCGACCCAAAGCTACTGACAGGAACATAAAGGGTCGGGACGAGAACGAACGAGAACCCTCCAGAGGGTCCCACAGTGACAGCCGAAATGAAGGTGGCATTTATTCAGAAGCAGACGGCTACGAACCAAAAAAAGTACCCCAGCCAGCCTCGTGGGCCTCTCCACACCCAAGTTCAGATGCATTTGTGGGGTCCTTTCCTACAAACACCACAATCCGCCTCGGAGGTCCCCTGTCTCTTAAAGCAAAGACCCTCCGGCTTCACATCCGTTCCTCTCGCCCCCCGCACAAAGGCAGAGGCGGCGATAGAGCTGACCTAGCGCTGTGGGGCAGCAAAAATGCCGTGTTCCGGCCACCCATCCTTGGGCCTGGCTTCATCTGCGCCGTCAGCACCAACGTTTTTTTTTTTTAGTTTTGTTTTGGACAACGCATCCTGGGCGAGCGTATGCATTTGGGAGGGGAGGGTGGCGAACAGAGGAGAGGAGAGGTTGGTAGTGGAGCTTACAACATAGAACCCTCCTTCCTCTTCCCTCCTTCCAGGGTGGCCGTGCAGGGAGTGTCGGCCACGTCTAGCGCACTATTCCAGGCCCCGGGACGAAGGTGGCCTGGGGAAGTGGGGCTCAAGGATTGCTAAACAGACGGCATCACTGGTGGTCTCCAGTGCCGGCGCAGGTGGGACTTTTTTTTTTTTCTACCAAAAATGGGTGGTGTTATTTTTATTTGTGGGGGAGGTGGTTGGGGTTCATTCGTTCGTCACTGCGGGTGTGTGTGTGTGTGTGGGGGGGTGATGTTGCTGCACTGCCTGGGCCCCGAGAGGGGAGGTACGGGGATGTCTGCAATGGTACAGTCATCATTCCTCAGCGGAGAGGGCAATTAGAGGGGACGGGGTGGGCGGCACCTCGAGCTGTGGCCGCAGGGAAGGTCGCGAGGGGCTTACCCGGGCGGGCGGGCGGGCGGGCGGGCGCTGTCCTGCCGCAGGTGAGGGAGGGCGCGCGCGAGGCGGGCGCTAGGCCGGCGCGAGGACGGGGGGAGGGGAGGAGGGCGCGCGCGCGCACACCTGTCCTGGACAGCGGCGCGAGCCGAGCTGCGCCTCACTCGGGCTCTGCGGGCTGAGGGAGGAGGGCGGGCTGGCAGGCGGGGGCGGGACGCCGAGGGGAGGAGGAGGAGGCGGCTCGGATGGCTGGCTCGGCTCTCGCTCGTTCTCCCTCCCGCGGGCAAGCCCGGCGCACGCCCTGCTTCTCCGCTCACTCACAGCCTCTCAGGCTCTCCCTCCTCCTCCTTCCCCTGCGGGATCCGCTCGTCGCCGCTGCCGCCGCCGCCGCCGCCGCCGCAGACGGCAAGTCGTGGCAGCCAGACGTCGGCGCGTAACCCGGCGCTCCGTGCGTGACTCCGGGCGACGTCAGCGCGCGCTCGGCGCTCGGCGCTCCGCACCCCCGCCCCCGCCGAGGCTCGCGCCCTCCGCTCTCGCGTCGCTCCGTTTCGGTTGCCGCGGCGCCGCCGCCGCCGCCGCCGCGCGCGCTCCCTCCGTGCCCCCCCGCCCGCCTCCCGCGCGTGAGCGCGCCCTCGCAGCCTGCCTTTGGCGCGCCAACATCCCGCGGCCCAGGCCTTGAGGCGCGTCTGAGGAGGGGGCCGTCTTGTAGTCTCTCTGCCCGCACTTCCTCGGTCCACCACCCGCAGCGCCCCGAGGAGCGCCGCTCCCTGGGCCGGCCGCTGAAGGCCGAGGCCAGCCTCAGGCGGGGATGGAACCCCGTAGGGCCTGCGCCAGCCCCGACTTAGGGCCCTCGGCGTCGGCTGCGGCAGCGCGGCCACCCCGTCCCACGCCCTCCCTCCGTCCCGGTCTCTCAGGGGGCAGCAAGCCTTTCATCTCCCGGGAGGGTCTCACCTTGGCCTTCGGACACCCGCCGGGAGAGGCTGCGAGAGCAGGATTTGCATAAAGAAGAAAGGCTAGACCTCGCTTGGGCGGTAGCCCCAGGAATCCCTGACAGGAAGTGTGGGGTTGCTGCCCAGCCTCCCACACAGTGTAGGTGAAGCTGGGCCCCTTTGAGGGAATGTGACTAAGGACGAAACCCTGATAAATATTATTTATGTGTCCTTGGGCCAAGAGGAAGAAAGTAAAAAGGGATGAGTTAATTTTCATAAAATGCTGTACAAGGACGAGGTGCGGAACTGTAAAATGTCCTTTCAGACAGTTTCTTGAGTTCCTGGGCAGTTTGACGAGATTTTTGGTGCCAGGTAACTTTTCCTTGCCTTTTATGCTGTCGCATGTCCGTCCTTCAACACCACGTCGGTAGAAGTAACGTGGATGGGCTAATAATTCTCTACTGCAAAATAAAAAGAACCGTCTTCACCATCTTTATAATTTAAAGAGATCCTCAAGAGGCCAACCTGTGGTTTAGGAACATACTCCCAAACTTTAAAACTGCCTGTATCTTATTTTGGAGTTTTTCACAGGTACATCGCAAAATCTCTTTTAGTAGGCAAAAGTCGACTTTTAGACTCGCTTGTTGTAGGGCATTTTCCAAGGAGCCTCTCTAGTGACAAGTTGGAGGAAAGTGTCATTAATCCCATCTTGTGGATGAGCAAAACTGAGTTACCAAAATGTAAGTTTGCTCAGGTTTTCAAGGGGTCTGTCAATGATGGAAGGAAAAAGATTAGGTCTGTTTATCACTTCCTTTGTCCACTAACCCAGAAATCCCTCAATTGTTTTCTTTCAGGTATCTTGACTCGCTCTTAACTGTTATAGGTGATTGCCTAATGGCTGAAAAGAACCACAGGGAACTCAAAAAGGTTTAAGTTTGGAATTTTCTGCCATAGAAAATTGCAGCTCCACTATAAAACATTCTGAAACAATCCAGCTAACAGCAAAAATGAATGTCAGTTGCAGGTGAGAAAAATTTTCAAACTGTCTTCCACGTGATAGGTCATTTCCTTTGAACTGCTTTTTTATTCACCTCATCTTTAGGTGGCAGCACTACTATATAAATAGCTTTAAAACTACTGTCTCTGCAGCTTGCTATTCTGTTTTTCCCTAAATGTTTCCAACTGTATTGTGGAAATTAGAAATTAGTGAAAATATGAACACATAGCTGGGAATTAGAATAGTTGGGAATTTATAGAGAAGGGAAACCAGAAAAGCTATCTGAGACAGTAATAAAATACATCAAGAAAATCCACCCCCCCCCCATTACTTTTAGCTGCTTTAGGTGCAAGTAACCTTATTTTTTTCTAATTAAAAACATCTTAGTTGATATGCAATAATTGTATTTATTTATGGGGAACAAGCTGACATTCAGATACATGTGTAAGAGATATAATGATCAGATCAGGGTAGTTGGTATACCCATCACCTCAGATGTTTATCATTTCTTTAGGGAACATTGAAAATCTTCTCCAGCTATTTTGAAATGTTCAACCAGTTGTTGTCAACCATAGTTATTCTACTGTGCTGTAGAGTAGTAGAAGTTACTCTTCCCATCAACTACACTGGCAATTATGAATAGTACTACAATAAACTTGCAAGTGCAGAGGTTTTTTTGACATGATGATTTCTCCTTCTGGGGCTCTGGTAATCATTATTCTTACTTCTCTGAGATCAACTTTTTGACTTTCATATGTAAGTGAAAAGATACAGTATTTGTCTTTCTGAGCTTGACTTATTTCACTTAACATAATGTTCTCCAGTTCCATCCATGTTGCTACAGATGACCGAATTGCATTCCTTTTTATGTCTGAATAGTATTCCATTGTGTGGATATACCACATATTCTTTATCTATTATTCATCCAAACCTAGGTTGATTATCTTGGCTATTATGAATTATAAAAATGATCCTTGAAAGTAGTCTTTATCTTGGCAATTATGAATAGTACTACAATAAACTTGCAAGTGCAGAGGTTTTTTTGACGTGATGATTTCATTTCCTTTGGATGTAAACCCAGCAGTGGAACTGGAATGATAGCCCATGTGACAGTTCTATTTCTAGTTTTTTGAGTAACTGCTGTACTGTTTTCCATAATGGTTATACTAATTTGCATTCCCACTAATAGTGTATAAGAGTTCTCCTTGCTTTGCATCTTTGCCAACTTTTTTTTTTTGTCTTTTTGATGATAGCCATCCTAACTGGATGAGATTATATCTCATCATGATTTTGATTTGCATTTTCCTAATGATTATTAATGCTGAACATTTTTTCATATACTTGTTGGTCCTTTGTATAACTTCTTTTGAGAAATCTCTGTTCAGGTCATTACACATTTTTTAAAATAGGATTAATTGTTTTCTTTGCTGTTGAATTGTTTGAGCTCCTTATATAATCAGGATATTAATCCCTTGTCAGATGAATAGTTCGCAAATATGTTCTCCCATTCTGTAAATTGTCTCTTTACTCTTGATTGTTCCCTTTGTTCTGCAGAAGCCTTTTGGTTTGATGTAATCCCATTTGTCAATTTTTGCTTTACAAGTATCATCTTTAAGCCTGGTCTCATTGAAACATTTACAAGATAACTGTCCAAAGCAAACCATAGTTTCTCAGTGCTGCATATTTATTAAGCATTTCCAAGTCTAACTTTGCTAATTGTATCATTTTCAGACCTCTAACTGCAATTTTAAAATTCAGGTGCATTTTTGTTGTTGTTCTTATTGTTAAATAGCATCAAGCTTATGAAGATCTCAAAGAGGGCTTTATTATTGACCCATGTTGAAAAGAACTGTTCTTGTCTTCATACTTGGCTTTCCTAAATTGTTCATATACAAAGTAAACTATAATCTTTTCAGTTTAGATAAGTGAGAAAACAAGTTGAACCAGATGTAAAATGGTAGCATTTTACAGTTACTACTATATTTCATTTCTCTCATATCCTTGAGGTTAAAAATTGGTGATATGTGAGGATTGTTTGGATAAATGTTTTCTAAGTAGAGCACTGTCATAATTAATTTTCTGTATTTATAGTATTCTCTCTGTGCCCCTTTATCCAAGTGACTGAATAAAATTGAATTTATATGCATTTCAAAATAGACTGCATTAGATTTTTTTCTCTGTAACATAACCACCAAGGAATAGAGATATGACAATCAGGAGTGGGAAATCAAATTATTTCTTGTTAGAAGACGAAGTGTTAATAAAGTCTTTTTTTTTTTTTTTTTAACTTAGCTTCCATCTTTCTCAAGTCAAACTGGGGGAGGAGTCTGAAGCAAACTGGTAGTACTGAAACTCAGTAGTATTATGTTAAGATTTTCAAGCTCTATGGTGCCAGCAAATCATGCAGCCTGGGGGCCTTTGCTCCAAACTTCTGCCAACTCCTTTCTGGCAGTAAAATGTTCTGTTGAACAAAGTTTGCACGTGTTCAGGGTGTGAAGTGGCTCCTCTGGCATTTATATTTGGTTTTATTCCAGTTTAGGGACCTGAAGACAAGGGTCGGAGTGTGAGACTTGTGGAGATTGTGCCCTGAAATGGACTATGATACTGACCTTGACTTTTTGCTGAATGGAGGACAACATTTTTTTGTTGTTGTTGTTGGTATATGAGTTATTGAAATGGATCTTTCAGTTCACTCCCTAAATGCTACATATTGACCAAGTTCTCAGAGCAGGTAAACTTGTATTGAAGGTATAGAGCTGGGGAAAGTTCTTCATCCTCCTACTTATACCACCACCAAAATGTGTTTATTCAGAGGGAACTCACTTGATAATAACATGAAACTTGAGAGCCACTAGGCCAGTAATTGTTTAAACCTGATCTTGTTTGTCAAATTTTGTATAACCATGAACCTCTGATTTTTTTGGAATTGTCTGACATTATCTTTTTGACTCACTTCACATCCTGGAGTCACTGGTTGATGGCGCCTGGCCCAGGTTTATGTGCTAATTTGTCTTATTCCGAGGATTCCTCTTACTGTTGGAAACATATGATTTCAATTTCCATTATTTTTTCATGTATTTCTGATAGAAAATCTTCTCAGAATCTGGGATAACAGTTGGAAAACCATTAAAACACTGTTGGACCATTCATGCCCCCCATAGTTTAAGAATAATAGAAAGAAAAAGTACGAAAGTAAAGATAACAAAAGTTGAAATGATACTCTCTGATGTTTACTATTATAGATGAAATGCCATTTTGTAGGATACAAGTATGATAATTTGAAAATGGTAGCTTTTTTTTTTTTTTTAAGATTTGTTTATTTATTTGAAAGGCAGAGTTACAGAGAGGCAGAGAGATAGATAGAGAGGTCTTCCATATGCTGGTTCACTCCCCAGATGACAGCAATGGCTGGAGCTGTGCCAATTCAAAGCCAGGAACCAGGAGCTTCTTCTGGGTCTCTGCTGCAGATGCAGGAGCCAAGGACCTGGGCCATCCTCCACTGCTTTCTCAGGCCATAGCAGAGAGCTGGATTGGAAGTGGAGCAGCTGGGACTCCATATGGGATGCCAGCACTGTAGGCAATGGCCTTATCTGCTATGCCACGGCTCTGACGCTGGTAGCTGTTCTTGATAGTTTTGTCCAGAGGGTGGCCTTATTCACACCTTTTCATTTTATCCAGGTGTCAGAGTAACATGAGATGAGCTTAGGGGAGAGGAAAACTGGGCCTTTCCAAAAAGTGGATCTGTTTGAACTGGAAGCACTATTGTATTTTGTTGCACATTCTGTGACCCCAAAACTCTGTAGGCTTATTTTATAGTATCTGCTTGTTGCCATTTTGCTATATAGATCAAGACTAAATATATACATACCAGTAAAGGCAACCAGATTCCACTCTGCTGTGAGGCTGATACAGGCCACTCTTGCAGCCTAATGCAGTAGCACTTTACAAAAGATCAGGATTTCTTTCTTACTGAGTAAACTCTGTCAGGGGGAAATTAGGACAGTACTCCAAAGCAAAAATACACACAGTAAATTCTGGATTATTTTTTGTGTTGTGATTAATTTTACCTTTTGCATGTACTCAAAATTAATTATTAGATATATTAATTTTTACTTTCTAGGTAGTAAATCAATGTTTATTTAAGTATGTGTGTGATGAAGAAATTTTTATACTACTATTTTGGAATATCATGAATAGACATATTACCTAAACATAGTACAGCTCATGTCTATATGTCTGTCTTGAACTCTTTCTGGAAATTAAGTATGACCTGCTATGTCTGGTCTAGTCCTTTGCTTTTTATTAGTTTTATATTTTATTTATTGAACAATGTTTGTCAAATGCCTATTGCCAAACATTTTTCTAGATGCTTGAACTAAGTGAAATCTTTTTTCTTAAAAAAAAGATTTATTTATTTATTTGAAAGGAAGAGAGAGAAATTCTCCCACCTACTGTTTCACTGTCCAAATGGCCACAGTGACCAAGGGTGGGCTGGATTGAAGCCAGGAGCCAGGAACTCCAGCCAGGTCTCCCACATGGATGGCAGTGCCCCAAGCAGTTGGCCATCACCAGCTACTTTCCAAAGGCACGATAACAGGGAGCTGGATGAGAAGCAGTGTAGCTGGGACTCAAATCAGTGCTCCAATATGGGATGTCAGTGCTGCAAGCAGTAGCTTCATCCACTGCACCACAGTGCCAGCCTCCAAAATGAAGTCTTCAATCTCATAGTTTCTAATCAGTGTGAGTAGTTCAGATAACAAAGCAGATAATATAATGCTCGATAGTGATAAGTGCAAAAAAGAAAATAGGAAGAGGAAAAGAGAGTTCCCCTGTGATTGAATGTGTGCATGTGAATGCCTGTGCATACCTTATGCATAATATTTTAAAGCATGATCCAAGAAGCTTCTCTGAGGAGGTAGCATTTGAACAGAGACCTGTATATGTGTATGTGTGTGTTTGTGCATGTGTGTGTGTATGTATGTATATATGTCTTTTTTTTCTTCTTAAAAGAAAAATCCTTAGGTTAT